GTCTTCAAGGAAATGTTCAGGTACATATAGTGGATATCCTCTCTCTCCTTCTTTATTCTTCTCTGACAAACAGTAACAGACTTATATGTTTATAGATCCTATGTCATTAGTATCTCATTAGATTAGCAGAGCTAGTTTCTTGAGGGTGTGGGTGTGGGTCTGAAGTGTCCTCTGTTGACATCATTCGCAGCCACATAGTCACACTTACTCACACTGGCATCCGGTTGAGCGACTATTGCAGCTAGTAGAGGATTATGGTGTGATCTGAGGCAGTCATTACTCACGTTTGATACTAACTCGCTACATGTGCCTTTTGAACAAATTCAACAAACAGTATTTTCTTAAATCAATTTTGCACGGTGAGAATAATTCAAGTAGCGACTTATATTGATCTGAATCCTCGTTAAATTCTCGATGTTGATGAAGTAATCAACCAGTAACACATATATTGTTATGCTCACAGATGATTCAATGAAAATGCAGACTATAAATATTTTGAATAAAACTAGAACATTTACATCAAATGAATATTCCCACAGCGACGTCGTTATCATAACAGTTGCATGCTATCACTAGTCTGCTTAGCTCGTAGGCAGCAGCATATTGTGCTCAATTCAAAATTAATTGCACGAGACGCTAACCAATGGTAGCAGAGCAAATGATGGACCTTAATTTAGGCGAAAAAGAAATCATGTACTAATGAAGTTGCTCTCAATTTATGCTGAACGGCACTAATCTGCACAGGGAGAAAGCGTATTATCTGAAATTTCATTCAATCGTAACGTGAGAATGGGTGTGAATAAGAATCATGGTAGGAGTGTAAGTATGATGATGTGTTACTTTCCTTCACATATATTCACATTTTTGTGATAATTACTTAACTACTTATAATAATAGAATGTAGTTGCTGTTCTTATTTTTTCTTTATATCGTGAACAGCATGCGGAAAAGCATCTTGATTGTGAAAAATATTTCATTAAGCTGATAATTCGTGATAGCTAGTCTATTCTTTTCATTAATTCGTAGCTCTTTGAATCTTGCTTCACAATCAAGAGAAAAATGAGATAAATTAAAAAGAAAATGAATGTAAATTTCTACAATATTGAATGAAATGCGCTCTATGGCATCGGCGTGCGAAGTTTCAATGAAGAGTAGACGCACACCTCATAGTCACACCCTCATCCAAATCCTCTCCTCGTTGGATATTTTAAACTTAAAAGCATTTGAGCATGTAACTGTAAGCCCTTTTCAGCTGCTTAAAATGTGCGCTTCGCAACGTTTATATTTTTCAGAATATAAGTGGTTTAAAGTATTGATATATGCGACTGCAATATTTTTTAAGTGGCCCAGGTCAATGAGTCCTGAGGACGGATACTGTAGGAACCGGCCGGAAAGATGCGGAAAAATCACCGTATCTGGCCGGAAAGCACTGTAAAGCGCTGGAAAGTGGAAGCAGTATTCCAGTTGTATGCATACACCCCCAGGTCGAACAGTACGGTCCGTATACAGCCATCGACGGTTACTTTACGAATATTTTACGGGCGAAATTTTGCCGTAATATCTGGCGCAGTAATACGGACCGTATTATCATGAGAGTACGGAGCACAAACAGCCGTAAACCATGAAAATGCAGTCCCGTTTACGGTGCCGTATTACTGCGCCAGGTATTACGGGCAAATACGGCCTATTTACTGTCATAAATATACCGTTTTAACATCGTTTACCGTCGACAAGCAGACCGTAAACGAGTCCGTTTTGATCAACCTGGGCAGCTGTATATAAGCAGCATGATTGAACATACGAAAGACAAATTTTCAAAATTGTTCTTTTTCTCAACTATTTCTCGGTTATTCGAGAGAATGCTGATCTCGACCGATGATCGAGAGAGGGCTTCCCTAATTGGTCCGACGGATATCGGACCAATTTATAGCCAGTCAGATTCCAACATCTGACTTGCTGGAATTCGGGAGAGGGATAATTAAAATGAAAATAAATTGGAAAAATATTAAAGAATGCATCAGGTATTATTTTAGTGTGCCTCCAAGATTTAATGGATTCTTATGTAAGATCTGTAATTAGATCTTGGGTACAAGATAACTGTATTATCTTGTACCTGAATTTCCAAGATCCGTTAACATATCTGTACTTTGTATCTTGACCAAGATCTTGCTTACAAGATGTTTGTCTAGGGTATTGTTGACCGTTCGTGCACAAAACCAAATCAATTTAGAGCCAAATGAACGTAAATAGAAAACTATTAACCATTAATATGTCATAGAGGCATTGCCAATTTTTTTAGTGATACCAACAAGCAAACCCGAAGAGGACTCTTCAAGTATTGTATCATCAGTGTCAGAAGAAGAGTGTGTGAACGATAATCAACAATTTCTTTCTGAATGGTTAAAATGAAGCAAGTCATACTATCAGATTGACAGAATCATATAATCTAAGAAAAAAGGATGAACTAATATAAGAATTACACCCATTTATTGGTGTGCGTAATTTTCCATGCGATCCATCAAGCAAATGGTATCAAAAGAATTGTCGATTGTACTGCAGTTTGCAAGGTCGGAAACGATCGGAATGCCAACTATATATGAACTAATTTCGTTGAGTATGCCACTGAGAATCAACATAATCTTTACTTAATGCTTAACTCAAAAGTTTCATATTTTTTTATTGTCAGCCTTCAATTTATTTTCGTGAAATAAGAAATTTAATATATTCTTGAACTGATCATTTAAGTATTCAATTTATCTATAAATAGCAGATTTATAAGTGAATTTATAGTGGATCTGTTTACTATAACTTACGAAAAAAAAGAACATGAGAATTCAATAGAGTATGAATCCGTTTGTGATTTAGAATCATTTGAATCATGTTTCATTGTATAAAATCTTTCAATTGAAGTACGCTGGTTGTAACAGTTAAACTATAACTAAATTTATATAAAATTGCAAAGTAATATTCTTTTCAAAAGAAGAAATTATCGACATAAGGATAATTCCTTGTTTGGATGTAGGTACATAAACGTTCATCAGCATACCTTTGATTGACTCCATGGGAAATTTTAATTCGCTGCAAATTCAAAATAGTTATCCCACGATAACAGTATAGAGATGTTACATCTCTCTAACTGAGTGAGAAGATAGATATGAGCGGGGGGAGAAGGAGATGAATAGGTAGGAAAAGAGCAGAGCAAAATATCCCCTCGCTTTTTTGATCCCTTTAACCTGTAGATAAGTATTTTGTCACAAATTCAATTTTTTAAAGAAGCTGAATTTGTTACAAAATCAAATTCTCCATGAGATGGTAATCGTCACAGGAAGTTCTATTTTTTTCATTCAAATTGAAAAAAATTTATAAAAGTATTATACAACGAAGTTTTTGACTCACCATTTATTAAATACTCAGCTTCATGAAGAACAAGTTGATTAATATTTGATGGCAGATGTCTATTGGAACGACAAACATGACTGAATAGAAATCGAAAGTTTCTCACCAAAACATCGGCACTATCGATATAATATTTTGCTTTTAAGAAGTTCACGTTTCTGCCTAAAATCAGTATTTTCACGGTAAATCTAGAAATAACTACTTAGCATTCTCATGGATTGAGACAATTTTTCTGCTTGTCACTTCCCCTACACTATACGTGTTTTTAACCTATCCTCGTTGGTGGACTACAGTAGACTAATACAACACCTCTCTAGTCAGGTTCACCTTAATTAAACTTATTTTCTCAGTATTCTAGAAGCTATTGATGCAACGTAGAATGTAAATGTAACGATATATATATATATAACAAAGATAAGAGCTGAAGAATAGACAAATTGTTTTAGTTGATAACTCGAAAAACAAAAGTCTTCAAAGCATACATCAATGTTCATTATCATCATCGTCAATAGAAGAGTGTAAGACACGAAATTGATCGATTTTCTAAGATTATTTTTCTGCTTTTAGTTATGTGAGATATGCAAGATATGAACAAATCTAATGAACCTTTTTCAAGCTCTTTCTATTGGTTGCAATTCAAAATTTCTTCAACACTTTCATCCATATGCAGATAAGTTTTTTCTTTTATACCGATTTGAATATTTTTGCCAGAATTTTGGCATCACCTCATGAAATTCTTGCATCTATGACATAACAATGACTTTTTACAATAAAATATCGTTGTTATTTTGAAAATAAATGATTTGTCTGTTGGCCTGCGCAACTGTCTAGTACACATTTGATGTTTCATGTGAACATTTTCGCAGTGTCGAATTTTACTGCCTTAGAGTTTCTGCCGATTTAGGAAACAAAAAAGTTAAACTATAAAAAAAGTTATCGTATGCAAATTGTAGAGTTTTTCAAGCTGCGTTCTGTGGTATATTTTTTTTAAATACATTTGTATTAAGTGAATCGAAATTGAAACATAAAACACAGTCATTCGACCTGTCCTATGCTTAAGTAGGTTTTTTGTGAAATTAACAATGATCATTACCTTTTTTTTCTTTATTTGACTCTTGTTCCAATCAGTTCGAGGCAATACATCGAACCAATAGGGATTATGCAACCGTTGAAAAAGATCGATTCTTTTATGAACAAATTGGACGAAAAGTTCATCGTTAAATTTTTTGCTGATGTGAGCGACTATCGATGAACCATAAATGAACATATAAATCTAAATACGTGCATCTATTTCCATGTTAACACTATTCGCAAATTGAAAAAAAATGAACCACTGTAACGTTGACTTTTTTGGCTTGCCACACGAAATACTGTTGAATATTTTGAAGAAACTAGACAATATTAGTGTTTTGTACTCATTATTCGGTGTTATTGATGAAAGGTGTGATAGTTTACTACAAGACAATATTTTTACAAACACTCTGAATTTACTCACAAATTCAGCCAATGGTAATTCTGCATCAGTCGATCGAATATTTGATCGATTTTGTATTGATATATGACCAAGGATCCATTACAGTGTTAAACATCTCATTCTTGAGTCAATGTCTATGGGACGTATTCTTCTGACTGGTACCTTTCCAAATTTAACGCATCTTAATGTGTCTAACTTTGGACAACACATCACTTTAAATTATTTTACAGGTAAATACTCAATATATTTATGTATGAAAATAAAATCTGACGAATATTTTAATTGTTTTTTTTACTTAGATCAGTCAATCTTTCGACACATTTTCAAGCATCAAATAACAGAACTTATTCTGGAAAATTGTGATCAGGACAGTGAGACAATCTTATTAGGAGAATATACTGAAAATGTTTATGCACCAATCTTGACTTTTTTCGAAAATTTAACACATTTAAGTATTGTTGAATCATCATCGATTACTGAATATCCACCTTTGTCAATATGTGATTTACCATCAACTACCTTTTTTTCTTCTACTCTTAAAAAATTATGCATCAATGTAGAAAGTATAAATGATTGCTTTCATTTACTTGATGGTCGTCTTCAACAATTGACAACACTCATTGTTCAAATTGGGTTTATTGACAATGATTCACCTATTGTTCATAATACCGTAAGTTACTAGCAAATCGAGAGTACGTCGTTCTAGATCATTTGATAAACAATTCCTATTGGAAATAATTAGTTGGATGATCGAAGCTAACCTTTTGTTTGAGAGAAAAATTTATCAAAATTGTTTTAAGTATGTTAAAAGTAATAGATATAGAATTTATCGAAATTCTATAGAGTATTTTTCTTTTAACACGTATATGATGATTTCTGTCTTACGATGTTCGTAGCATTCTATTGATAAGTATCGTACGTGGGTGTTACGGTGAATGATTAGAAAAATAAATCAATTGTTTTATTTACATTATAAAATATATTTCACTTTGAATATAAGAAATATTTTAAATATCTGAAAATAAATTATAGTTTATATCATTCGTTCATCTGAACTTTTTCCTGAAATTAATCAATAAACATATGTCATTTTATTTTATAGAATGATCTACCTAATTTGAAATGTTTTTCATTAATATGCTATGAACAAACTGATGCATATGACAGCCAAGTGATACCTATACTTCGTCGTATGACATACTTGGAAAAATTAACTTTGTATATTCGTATTCATAATCGATCTAATTACATTTGTTGATGGTACTAATCTCCATAAGAATATTCTTATTTATATGCCACGACTTCATACATTCAGTTTTTATATTGGTACTGAAATTCAATTCAATGATTCAGTTCATCATCTATTTGATAATGATATTCAACAAACTTTTACAAGTATAGGTTATAATCAAATAGCCTGTAGTGTTAATTATTGTCGTAATTACAGGGCAATGTGTCATGTTTTCTCACTTCCATTCATATTTAATCGTCTCGAAAAGATTAACAATAGGTTTCCGAATGTAATGTTCAATGACGTTACTTATCTGATGGTAGCTGATGCGATTCCATTCAAATATGAATTCTTTATTCGAATTGCAAAAGCTTTTCCATCATTGAAGTATTTTTCTATTATCAATCTTACGTCGCCATCAGGAGATTTTAACTCAAATGCAGCTGATAATATTGATTCACATTCATATATTGAATACCTGAATCTTGCTTCACTTGATGTTAAATATGTGGATGATTATTATATTGAACAATTTTTACTTGATACAAAGATACATGCACCTCGTTTAACTGAAATCAAAGTACATTTTGATCGATTGCAAACTGTAACAGAGAATTTTACAAGAGATACAACACGATATAACTGTCGCAATATAAAACGATTAATTTTTGAAAAGATAATGAATTATCCGAAAGAATTGTATCTCTATTTTCCTTCACTTGTAGATTGAAATTTGTGTGGATAAAATTAACTACAGTAGACATTTTTTTGCTATATCTTTCAAAATAAAAAAAATGTAGATAAATAGCAGTTGTCAATATTTCATTTTCAATTTTTTTAAATTGATGATTCGAATTGATTTATTAGAACAAAACTCAGAAACAATTCATTGAATTTGTAATTTGGATTAACTATGATTTATTGTTGTTGACAACAAACAACTGACCGATTGGAAAGAGCTTTTTCGCTTCAAAAATAGATAATTATTTACTTCAACCAATATAAAAGAAATAGTTATATATGTTTTCTTAGGTGAAAAGTACTTGATGACGTAGCAGATCAAAATTTTTTTTATTATTCATATTATATAACAATACTTATATCTTATATTAATTCCAGATGAACATTTCATATTATATGGATATTTTTATGTTATTCTTTCTTTTTCTTGTATTCTTTCAAGAAATTGTTTTTCAATAAAAATTGACATGAACAATAAATAAAAACGATATACAGGAATTTCTCAAAAAAAGATATACTAATTTTTACTCTATGCGTCACCAGAACAACGGTTCCGAGCCACAAAACCGTATTCGGACTCGGAACCGTTTTATCTCAACTTTGATAACCGGAACTAAACTCGGACACGCGGTTCCAGTTTCGGATCCGGGTAATTTTTGGATCCGCAGAGCTCTAATGTATGTAGACGAACTGAAGTAGTCGAGTCGTTTATTCCTCGTCTTTAAAGTATTCGACTGCAAACTGGAGAATTGTGTTTATCTTTATTGATAGACTAAATACTAATTTTAGATTCAAGCATTAAATAGAGACCATCCTGAAAACATTATCATTGAAATAGGGAGGGGCCTGGGTATTTCTCATATTATTTTTTAGGTGATAAGATATAGATTTAATTACAATGGCTAAAATTAACTTTCGAGCTTAAAATAAGTCAACAATAAAAAACTTCGAATTCCAAATATTGAAATTTACTCTTTCAACTGCTTTTAATCAGCTACCAGAAAGTCTCAGTGACTACTAATTCTAATTCTCGACTCATATTTTCACAACAGAATCAGCGAAAAACAAATATCACTTCATGGTCTATTTTACTTACTATTGGTAGAAGTAAACCATGCAAAGCTAAATACTTAGCAGTTGGGATCAACAGTGATAACTTAGGATATGATAAAAAAAATAAAATTCATTAATTGGACAAAGCAGTTCGAAATAAATAGAAGCATCAATGAATTGAATAGGATTATCATCGAAATCATATAGTAATATATTATTCAAAGTAATTCAAAGAAGGTATACACTCTCGATATTCTGCAGACATCGTCGCGGAAGATTTATTATGTTCCGAAAGTTTTGTGTCAATTATTTGGTCTCACGATATTGCTGAGACCAGATCAAACATTTGAATTTGCGTTAGTTTCAATTTCATTATATCTCTTTATCAATGCATTTTCAAAATCATACAGTCTTCACAAGATGTGTGTATGCTTTGATCGGACTAGTTGCAGAGTGCTGAATGCACGTATATATAGTATATATTTCATTTATTTTGTTCATTTGGTACAGACAGTAATGGTTATCTTCCCAGATTAAAACGTACGAACCGTTTTCCTAGTCTTTCTTGCAAGTTCTTGCAGTATCAGGTGGCCGGAACAATCGAACTGGGTTTATTTAAAACCAGATAGGCTTATTTGTTGGTAGCAGATAACAATAAAAAGATTTAATAGACAAGAAAGAATGTGCTTCTGATATATTGATGTTTTGCAGCGTAATTCCGTTCCAACTGGTGACATTAATAGAAAAAACAAGTGACATGAATTTCTGCCTTCACTGTTTATTTTCTTTGAGAAGCGGTTTGTTAATGATCGATGTGAAACTAGCTTTTACATGTCTTATCTTATCATTTCAGAGTAAGGTAGTTGCGTATTTTTGCTTTTGCGTGTAGCTTCGAACACAGTTAAGAACATTGTGGGAATTTTTTCTTTTATCGAAACAGGGTCAGTTTATATCTATATAAAAGTTAACAATCTTCAACATTTTTTAAATTTATCTGACACCAAATATCAACAAGACATATTCGACCGGTCGCAGCAAGTAAGAAGGCCCATAGATGACAGAACTCTTTTAGGATTTTTTTAGCCGTCTGCTATATTATTCATGAAAGAATTTTCTACTAAGAAGACAATTACCAATTTACTGTTAGAATCTATCCGCGACGGATCGAAGAACTGAAAGTCTAGAGATAACGAGCTGACAGCTTGTTCAGTTAACTCTGCTACGAGAAATGACTCCGTTACAATGTTCATATTTTTTATTTATGCCACAACTTTTATACATATGAACTGAAAAACATGAGCATACTGTTGATTTCACGACTTTTAGACTCGAAAAATCTTCAGACCTTTCGAGAGATCTCGAACAGTATCGATGATGAAAAATGCTGTTTGTTATTGTTTGTTAAAATGGATCCTCTGCCAGGAATCACTGGAAGAAGGCTGATTCATACAGTGAACATGCTAAAGTACTAGAAACAGTTGAGCTCTTGCATTGAGAATTTTATCGGACCACCTTACCATTATAAAAATGTGGGTCAATGATGCCCTAGTGAAATGATTGCAATGCAGTTGATCTGTATAGTTCTCGAGCGTCAATATAAATATGATATAGAAAAAGAAGCAACATTTTACAAAATTTTAGTATGCCATTTCTACACCATTATTTAATATCAGCAAAGTCTTTGTCATTCAATTCAATTTGCTGAACTTTGTAAAACAAAGAGTAGCTGCCTAATTCGACTTCGAATATAAATGAAATTTTCCGAAAATTCCTATGCTGCACTTGCAAACGAAAAAGATGAAATTTTATCCTCTTTATAAATTTTTTAATTCAAACTCAGATATCCATATACGTCCGTTCACATGGCTCGTCAGTCCCTTCGCGACACTCTGTCCGAGCTAGAATATTCACACCCATCGCAGCTAATTACTGTTCAATCTCAATTCAGTACGCTAGGATCGCAGTTGAGTTTCCTTCAAACAAAACTCGGAATGCTACTATTATTCCTGAATTTGCTCCGAGTATTCTTAAGGATACTAGTAGCGTTTTTGAGTTTGCTATTATCACTTCTGAGATAGCTACTAGCATTCATCAGATTGCTAGAAGCGAGCCTGCTGCTGTTAGAAGCACTCCTGGGTCAACTAGATGTTTGTTTGAATTTATCAGGAAATCGCTTCGGAATGTTCCTAACAAGACGAGAAGAATGTCAAGAGCTTTGATATCGCATCTTGCAGCTCGGGTACGCGCTCCGGAAGCTCATGGTTGTTTCTAACAACTTCAATCATTGCTGCAGAAATTTCAAGCAGGACTTAGGAATTGAGGAATAATTTTAGATATCTTAGACATGATGTGTAAATTTGAATTATAAAATTTATAAATAGGATAAAATTTTATCTTTTGCTTTTTGCTGAAACTATATGAGTGCCTAATTTTTTTATTTTTGAAGTGATATTGTGTAGTTGAAGCTTTATTTATATTCGAATTCGAGTTAAGCATCTCATTAAAACAAAACATCACTATCCTCATCATAGATAGGAAAGCAATTCGAGCAGAGCGAATCATCACCACGAACTACTGCATTTGTTAAGTTTAGTTAAGGAAATTAGTGAGAGTAAAAAAAGAGCTGTAATCTATGCATAGTCACACATTCAAAATACTGCATTCAAATTCTTGGTTCTTGACAATTGTTGTCATGAGGCTTTTACTTTATTTTCTGTTTTGATGTTGTAATAGATTAACAGTATATCGACCAAAACTTCTATCAAGAAATAATAATGTCGTTCAATCTGGTGACTTGCGGCTTTGCTCCTGCCGGATGTAAGTACACAGATTTCAGTACACATTATGAGTTAACCTAATTATCTTATTTGTTTGTCGAATATATCAGATAGACCTGGTGTGACATTTGTTTCGCCATTGATGCACCCTAGTAAGTTCATTCGTGCCATTCTTACGCTTTATATATTATTCTTTTTAAAGCAACTTTTGTATTTCCTCCAACTACCTTGTGGTCGACGCGCACTTCTAGATTCATAGAGGATAGATCCGGTGGCCGAACCACGAGTGTTACACTAGAACTACTGGAAGGCAGCCTATGTGTCTATCATCGAAGGATGACTGAAGATGAGTACAATATCAGTAAGAACAAAATATTTTAAAGCTATTAATATGTAATTATAATATTTTGTTGATTCATTGTGCTGTAGTACCTGTCTGCACGTCAGCCAAAAAGTTACCGTGGTCAAATTTCATTCATGTTTTGAAAGTATTAATGTTGGCTGATCGACAGGAACGCCAGTCAAATATTGACGAAGCGTTTGCGATTCTCGACCAACAAACAAAATTAACATCTGGTAGCAATACAAATATTCCAGATGGCCTGATTTCATCTGATGAGTTCCGAGCCTTTTTGTCGATCATTTGCCCACAGGTAGTTTTTATTTAAAGTAGACAGATGTTTTTTCTACTTCTAATCATTACTTCCTTAAGGCGTACATTGATGTCTGCGTCCGTCTCGCTGATACAAATCGAAGCGGTCAAATCGATCGATCTGAATTTACTCGGATGATCCGGTCTGGACTGAGCAGAGACATCGTTTGTGGACTCATATAATCATACAAATGCGAACCAACTAACGAACTTATTTAAAGACCCAGTTTACGACACTTTTATTATTTTATCTTTCTAAAGAAACATCGTAGAGCAATATTCTTTGAAGAAAATTTCATAATTTCTAACTTACATGCAAAAGAAGTCGAGTGATTCAATTTTTCTTTAAATCTTCATTTCTATTCAAATATTCGCTCTCGATGACGTGTAGGTTTGCCATATTATTTCACAAAAGGATTTGAGTTTGCCTTCAAATTCTTTTCATCGTTGAGTGTTGGGAAAGGATAGGACTACTGTTGATGATCATCGATATATTATTTCATACTGTTTCGTCTTCTTCAGTTATTCAGTTAGAAAGAAACAAACGAGAGAAAAAAAGTAGTATGAAAAAATCTGAAAGTTAAAGGCTGTGAATGTCGACAAACTTCTACACCGAACTAATATTAATATATTCATCCTCAACCTGAAAAACTACATGAACGTGAATTTTCTTATACGGACTGAGCATCATCCGTTCATCTTTTAGTTTTCTGGTTTTTATAGAAATAATCAATAGCGCCATTGACGAATTCGACCGTGAAATATTTTATAAAGCACAAGCGGAGTATGAGTGTGGTATGGCATTTTAAATAAATCAGAATTAGGATGTGATTATGGTTGAGGAAACGAACTACATTCATAGATTCAGTTTAAGCTATGCAGATACTTGATCTGCAAGGAAAAAGACTAAATTAATTTTAATTTTATTGAGATATTTTGTTTCTTTGTAATTTTTTTTCTAAAATCTCTAATATAGAAAATTAAAAATTAAATGTTTGTGATCGGTTTCGTAGATTCTATTGATTCGTGGAAAATTCAATGAAGTCAAAATTTCATATAATGAGACATACATCATCATTATTCACGATGTACATATGTTGTCATCGAACAGTCAAGCCATGAGAAAAATGCTCCTGGAGCCTTTGCTTATGTGTAAAAATTTTCTTTTCTATTGATATTTTATCCATTGAATGAAAGATGAATTTTTATGCCAGTAGTATTGTATTAATCAATCAATCAATCAATCATGAACATACTGTTCTTTTTTTTCTTACGTGACGAATGTAGAAAAAAGAATGGGTCGTTTTTTTATGAAGCAATAAACATATTTAATATTTATAATTGTCATCATGAGGAGTACAACACAAATATTTACATATGAATTCCATTATCAAACGAGTAGGTATGAAACGTATAGGTGTCATGTCATCTTTAATTAGTTGCATATGTTTTATTTTAGTATTTCTCATAAAATCTACAACAGTCGCACGTATTATGCTATAGCTAGTCATGTTTTTATCTATTTCCGTCGTCATTCAATGTTTTTTTCTCCGCCAGTTACTATCGAAGTCAACCAATAAATCATAGCTGATCATAGAAGTATCTATAATGTTTTGTACTTTTTTAATAACTTGTATATCAGTCAAGGTTTCCATCATATTTATTTGTATTGATATCTTGAAGACAACAGCAAACACAAAATAAAAAGAAAGAACCATAGTGTATTGTACGTATTTATATATGTATTTATTTGATGAAGTTCATTGTCTATTGTTTTTCCACTGCATATGTGATAGTTTTGGATGATTTACATGAAAAAAAAACATGACAAGCATTAAAAGCAATAAAAATATTCATTTGTAAAGACTGATGATGAATAAAACGACAATCAGTTATACTTGTTCACAGGGATTTATTGGAGCATCGTCAATGTAGAATCTAAAACAATCAATGAATCTTTTGCAATATATAAACACAATAGCTACTTTTTTAAATCTGCTATTTCTTTATTAATTGCATCCATCTCATCGATGTCATTGCTCTGCGGAATATGTAAATCATCTAGATACTCTTTCAATTATAGATTTAGAAAAAAAATGAATTAATAATCATAAAAAAAAAGATTTTCATACTTTCAAGTCCATTTGTAGATGACATTGACGGTAGAATATTAAGTTTGGCACCACTATTAAATGGATCATAAAGAGGAAAATTATTTGATGTTGTTGATATTTGCAATTTTTCTCTGTCAGAATAATTCCATTTGGATTCAGTAGAATTCACTACAGGCGAATCAGTCCATGTTGAATTGAAATTATCAACATGTTCGGTTATTAATGAATGAAGTAGAACCGAATTATTACATGTTTCAGTTGAAGGTCTTTGAATGCAACGAGATATTTTGGCATTAGTAGGACCAGGTGCTGGTGAAAATAATGGTCTTGATCTCTGTACAAAATTTGATGAAAGAGGATAGTTAGTTGCATCCGAATAGGACATTGGTAAGGGCTCGTAGGGTACTAGAGTATTATCAACTTTACTCGGAAATAGCAGAGAAGAAGATGGAACAAAAGCTGGTGCTGTAGCAAGAAGAGTTGATGACGGTTTAACTAAATAAAAATGATAAAAATTAGATTGTTCTAGTAAAAAAAATATACGCAGAATATTTGTACCTTGAAGTTGCTCCTCAGTAGTCCAAGCAGAGGAGGTTTCTAGTTTTTTATGTTGCTTTTGCGAATTATTGTTTTTCACTAGACTAGGAGCACTTGGCGAGTCTAGTGTAATCGATTTTTGTGGCTTATTATTACTTTTTACTGTTGAAGGTAAAACTTTTGCTTGAGTAAGAATAGAAGTACTAGTAATTTTTGTCTTAGCTGACATAATTCGCTGCTTTTGTTGTATAGTATTCGATGGTACAACTGATGCGGCAGGTGACGACGAAACTGGTGTTGAACTAGTTTTATGTTTGTTTTGTTTACGAGATATTGTTATCCAATTGACTTCTTCCTCTTGTTCCAATGGAATGGAACTCGAAGATATCGGATCAATATTTGTTTTAATAGAATCCAAGTTTTTAGAAGGAGCTACTTCTATAGATATGGTTATAGGTTTGGCTGTTAAAGACTCATCTTCGTGTTTCTGTTGTTCTTTTTCAGCTTTTAATTTAGCTTTTTGTTTCCGTTTTGATAAATTATGTACAGTATCATTAGTAGTATTTTCTGATTTAAATATATCTTCTTCTTTATCATTGATGTCTTCCGGAATTGGATTTATTATAGTTCGTTTATTTTTTTTCTTCCTAATTTTTTTTGATGTTCGCTTATCTGGTACAGTTTCGTTGCCATGTATAAATCGAAGTAAATCATCAATATCATTATCACATTGTTTACTTTTTGATTTATTTGCAGCTGATGTTTCAGATTGATCTGGATTGTTTTCAACAGTACGTTTAGTCAATTTAAGTTTTAATCTTTCTTTCATTTCGGCATCACGTTGGTTGTAGTTATACATGACAGTTGTATTCGTTGATAAAGGCATACAAGCAACACAACCGTTTGTAGCTGAAGAATCAGACTCCGAAAATAAATCACAACAACAATAATCATAGTCTTGCTCAGTGAAAGAAGATTTTTCTAAATCATCGATTGTTTTTGATGAATCCAATGATGATAACAATGCAGAAATTTTATTATTTGATGTTGTTTGATGAAGCATTGAATCAAATTTATTCGACGCATGAATTGAATCACGTTTACTTCCTGTACCTAAATTTTCAAAAAAATTGAATTATCAACTATATGAATGAAAACATTCAAACGATGATAGACCTGGCTTACGTGATAGATTAATACTTAAGTATTTTTGGTTATGTGATGATGAGTGAGTGGATTCATTTGCTGTTATTGAACCAAATGTTCCAGCTGTAAATGAAACTGATTGAATTTTTGCTGATAAAAGAGATGGACATTTTGGTATTTCTGCTTTATCTAGTAAGGGAATAGTTAGCGGACGAAAGTCAGCTGCAAGTTTCGATGTTGTTGATGATCGTGGTTTAGGCGGAAGTATTAAATTTGAAGGCAGAGAGATTTCTGATAATGATGAAGAAGAAATATTTGATATTGTTGTGGAATTTTCCTTTCGATGATTTAATGAGCATCTATTTGATTTAGATTTTTTCGTTGACGTTTCTAAAATACCATAGGCAACACTTTGTTTCAAGGTGATATAGAAAAACAGTTAATTGATAAAAGGACGTTAATGCAAACTAGTTTCACAGAAAGAATTCAATCTATTGTACTAGTTCTCAGAACGATTTCTTTTTGTTTTTATTAAAAGAACATAGTTCCAGTGTCAGAATAAGTGATAGTATCAAATAAATATTAAATATTATCAATTATAATGCTTATTCTCAATGCTAGCGTAAGAAGCATCAAGAGAAGTTTCGAATGAAAACAGAAGGTGAGTGTTCACAAAAAACAATCTTTACTCTAGCAAACTCAAATGCTTTTATCTCTACTGGAATTTTCAAATCGTATACATATACAAGTACGATCCTCAACATCTTGATGTCGTTTTTAATTGATAGATTTTCAATCAATAGTACATAGACGAACTAGCACTGAAACCAATGATTAAACTCGCCACGATATAAAACTAAAACGCTTCAAATTTTTAGAAAGACTTCTCGGTAATTATTTTGTTAAAATGATTTACTAAAAATATATCCTTTTTTTTCACTGAAATACAAAACAAAAGTCTATCTCAGTCATGTGTAAAATATAACGCGTTATATTATGTTTTTATCAACTTCTGTTTTCTGCACTTGTATTTTTCATCGTTCATAATAAAATGCAAAACATTGAAATGTTTTACTTGACATAACTATACGATGATACTTTTTTGTTAAATCTTTTAAACATTATTAACTAGTGTTTATGTGAATATCACAGTATGCTACGGAAAGATTTATCGAACGAATTAAGAATCAGAAAAATACAAGTTTATTTTTGTTTTCGTTTTCCAGCTAAGACATACTTTTATTTGAAAACTATGATGTAGATGAGTAGCTACTACTTGATTTTTGAATAAAAACATAAACGAATCGATCTGTTTTTCATGCTTACCATTAAATGTTTGCTCTGTATCTTTCTGAGATTTTTCATTTGTAATTGTTGCTGTTAAGTTTTCATTTAATGTTGATTCCTCTGAGGGTCTGGGTAAATCATTATTCAACATTCCGTGACATGATTCTTCACCAAGATTAATCGTATTATTGTTTGGAATTGAGATATCCAATTTTTCCGCAGTGTAACTTGATGATAATCTATCATTTGGAAGCATGTATTCATCATCTTTATCATCTGTATCTATTGTTGATCTATTAGAATCTTGTTGAAATGTTCCTTGTGTCATTGGAATATCATTCGATGAGGGACTATTTAGAACATTTGTTGTTGATCTTAAATAAATAAATCAATAAAAATATAGTGACAAATTCTATCTGTAATACAGTTATTCTGCATCAAATTCTAAGTTCTACAAAATTGAGAAAGAAAAAGTTATATCTTGATTTGTAATAAGTCAAATTCTTAAGCACTTACTCTATCATAACCATTGATTCATTCTAAAATGTTTCTAGGATATAATAACCTTAAATGATCTCAAATAGAATCTGCTGATATTATTGTACTACCATTCGGTAATTATAGTACACTTAAGTCTTTCGCATATCACTTTTATGAAGTAAACTATAATCAATAGTTGGTCTCGAACAACATGTTGCATATTAGATAAAGAAAAATCAACAGTTGTTTTATCTGAAAAAATTATATCAAGTGTTAAGATTAGAGTTCTGCAAGATCAAATAAACTACTGACACTTTTTCAAAGATCAAACTCTGTCTTAAGTTTCTCCTAAAAGGATTTCGCAACTCGAGTGAACTTCCATGTGTTCAAATTAAAAAAATGATAATTAATTTCTTTTTAATCGCCTGTGTTACGCATAGTTTGTTTTTGTTTTACTGTTTCTCAAAGTAATAAATTAATTGCATACTATTCTAACCTGTTTAATATTTCCTTATATTTTCTTGGTATATTTTCAATTGTCTGTGCTTTTTTACAGATTTTCTTCTTATTTGTTGTAACTATAATACCCATTTGATTTCGCTTTTTAATCAAAGAACTTTTTGAAATCGAATTCATTTTCATTTGACAATCTTTGTATAAACAATCAATTTCTGACATTTCTTCATCAAATGCTAAGAATCGATTTAACAATTGTGTATATTCAGCTGGTGAACAATCGTTATCGACATCATTTGCCGGTTGAAGTAAATCAATCATTGTTGACATTGATAGTTGAATTTTTTTATCCATATAGACTAATTTCTCATATAAATGTTTATTGTACAATAGCCAAGTTAAATGAAAAGACTGCATATATTGTTCTTCCTAAAAGAAAATAATTAAGATATGAATTTCTTACTTTGAAATTTTATACGAACTAAATAAGAAATAATTGTTGAAACATTCTTAGCTGCTTGTATAAATGTATTATATTCATCCAGAATATAGGATATAAATAATTGCACATCATTAGAAGTTTTTAAGCATGTTTGAGAACGTTTCAATACATGATTTCGTATTTCATGAACATATTCTAATACAATCACTTCCATTTTATTAAATAAAGATTCAGCATCAGATTGAGTTAATCTATTGAAATAGAAAAACTACTGAAAAATTAATCGAGCTGCTTATATTATGATTACATTTGTAAAGATTGTTTTGCTTTGCATATATCATGGTATGAATGATTTTCTAAAAGATAACCATGGATAAAAATAAAAATGACATTAACTGATATCATTCATAATATTTAAATAAAAGCTTGAGTTAACACTTATGATTACTTGTACTTATTCAGGATGATATTGACGGAAAATATTTTTCTCGAATTATCATGATCAAATATTTACTTCAATTTATTAATTTCTAATCTATGAAAAACTTTTTTCAATTGACTTATGAATGAAATCAAACCGTAAATATGATCAATTAATTGTTAGAGCTTGAAAATTTATTTAAAGGATAAAACTAACCTGTGAATTCTTTATTAGTTTCTCGATAAATACATTTAATGATATGAGCAATATCTTGCCATAATGTTTTAGTATCTAATGATATTAATTCCAAATCATTCACCGATGAAGATGATGAATACAAATATTCATCATTTGAATTTATATCCGATACAACCAGCATTCGTTCATTTTCCTATCGAATAAATATTAAAAAATAGATAAAAAATGAACAAAAAATAAATTCTACTTTTTCTTCTAAACGATTATTATGTTTACAATTTGCACAGAGACAGTTCCGAACGTTACTATTTTCATTTTGACAGTTAAAACAGGTGGTAGTCTTAAAACGAAAAAGAAATTTAAAAAAAACATGCATACGAAACGTAGGAAATAATTTGGAATAATACTTGTGTCTTTGACTGTTCTTGAAAATCCATTTTTAAATACTAAAGAGAGATCTAAAATTGATTAGTTTTTATTATTATTGAGTAATGTGTTCATTATTATGAGTAAGGCCATATGTGTAATAATAGGACCAGTATGGCGCAATTTTGACAGATGTCTTTAGTTGAGGGATATGACTAATTTCAATTTTCATATGCACCGATGAATCATTCGAGGAAGAATAGTGAGGAAGTAAAAAAGTAAAAGAAAGAAAACGATTTATTTAATAACAAGAGAAAAACATTGAAGAATACATTGTTAATTTTCTATTAGTTGACTAAATCGACCAATGATGAATAAAAGTTGATGTCTTGTCTTCTGAAATGACATACATTTTATTTATTTATTGAATACGAAAAATACAATGGGTGATCGATATAATATTCATAGTCAACTTGAACATTTACAATCGAAATATGTTGGTAAGTTAATGATTTTTTGAAAGTTTCTGAATGAAACAAATACTATGAGTTTATTGAAATAATTTTCAAAAAAGTTGACAGTACATGTTTTCATATAAAAAAACAAAACTATGTGGAAATATGAGGCTCCAATTGAACGATATATATATATATATATATATATATGTTAGCGTCCAATCTCAGATTCATCTAGATCCGCCTAGGTGAATCTGAGATTGGCCTGAATCCGAGATTGGATGCTAACATCTACATCTATTTTCAGATTATTCATTGAAGATTTCCTACTTATAATTGAAAATAAAGCTCTAACTTGTATTGCATATTCTAGGTACGGGACATGCGGATACGACAAAATGGGAATGGGCATCAAATATTCATCGCGATACATATGCATCATATTTAGGTCATTTTGATATGCTCAATCATATAGCTTTATGTGAAAATGAAAGTAAAGCACGTGTTAAATTTCTATTACTGAAAAAAATGATTCAACCATGTGGACCACCTCATGAAAAAATGGATGAAAGTTGATTGAATTTATAAACTAAAATTATATGAACAAATCATTTTCTTTTTTGTTGTTGTTATTGTTGTTCTGTTAATTTGAAAAGTAAAAGACAAACATTATGTTTTCAACTTTTAATAATCTTCACCCAATCAAGAATTTCAAGCGAAGAAAATAAAATATTGTTAGAAATATATAGTTGAATGCATTATCATCATGTTGACACAGTCTGATATGAGTGTAGGAAAGAAAACAAAAAGTGTTGTCTTCTATTTTTTTTTATGAAGGTATTAAAGAGATTCATTTTCTTCAAGATTCTTCAATGATGTCAACAATTGAAGGTGATAAAACCATTCTGAAAACAACCAATTCTGACGAAACAGATTCTAGCTCTGCGGGTGCCAGTGGTGATTCTGAAGCTAATGGAAAAATTGTTTTTCTTCTTAAAGCAGTAGGTGGTGCACCAATATTGAAAAAGAAAAAATGGGCATTGCCAAGATCAAAAACTATTGGTCATATTGCTGAATTTCTAAAAAAATATATGCAATTAGATGCTGAACAGCAAAAACAATTATTTCTTTATGTGAATCAAACTTTTGCGCCCGCATTTGATACAACAATTGGAGCAGTGAATGATTGTTTTAATAGTGAAGGAATTCTTGTTTTACATTATACATTAACACCAGCATGGGGATAAGAAAATGAAGAAAATTTTCATTTTTTAAAATTTAAATCACGCTCTGAATTATTTGTGCTTTTTAGATTAATCTAAAAAAACTTTTACTGCAAAATATTATACAAGATGTTATCGTCCTTCGGTCTAATAAAATGTGTTTGGTATTGTGTAAAATATTGACTCATGATCTACGTTGGAAGCGTTTAGCATATTATCATGCTAAATAGAAGTTATGCTGGTAAACTTTTGAAAACTGCGACGAAATTAAAATAATATCAAATAGCTTCTATTCAATCATAATTGCTAATTAGAAAATATCGATCAAATGCGTCTTATAGAAGAGAAGCTAAATCGGTGACTGTCTAGTGAGTTTCGAGCTAAGTTTGCTTTCAACAGTGTTTTAAAAAAATTGCTTTGTCTTACTTGTGTAATCTAGTACACATGAATCAAAATGTGAATTGGTGCACATCAGTGAAATCATTTTCAAAATTAATATTATTGTCATCTATGAACGATGGTAACATCTTTTGGATAAATGCGTGGAAAACTAATCATTTGTTGATTCTTGTTCTGAACTCTCGATTTTCATTAACTATAATTGTTATGAAATGTATCCTATTTTGCCTGTGGTATGCTTTAGAATTATTTATGTTAAATACAATTAGCTATTAACAGTGACTACATAAAAGAAAATTTTCTATTTCATTTTAAGATTGAGAGATTTAACAGTTTTGTCATCAATATATTTTGACTCTTATGAAACATGAAAATTATAGATAAGAAGACTTTTGACACCGATGCAAAGATTTGCACTAGTACTGAACTTGAACTTCTTAAAAGCAATTAGAAAATGTAACTAAGTATACCTTTGCTTTATTTAATTGTTCAGTATTTTTCAAATTGTCTAGAAATGTTTTTATTTTTATTGCTATTAATCGCCTGACTGAATTCATTGTATATTAAGATTGAGACTCATTTATTTTGTTAGTACCAACGATGCTTTTAGACGAAAAAACTTAGTAAAAGTCTTGTATCATAAAATACTGAATCAACTTTAGTGATTAACTACAATTTATCAGAAAAATTTACCGATTGACTTATAAAGCGAAAAACAAATTTGTGGTCGTCAAAGAAAACAGTTGGCTAATGAGGTTAGTGGGATATTATATAATCAAATCTCTAAAGCTACAGCAAACTGCCTTTTTTCATTTGTCATCACATGTGAGCTGACAATATTTTTTTCCACAATGCGAAGTATTCAGAGTATGCATTGATTCCGTTAGAGCCACAATATTTATATCATATACTGTTTCTTTCAAATTAAAAGTCCATTGCTTTCTTCTCAAATTTCTTTTTTCAAAACTAGCCACGACATTTTCTCGAATTAACTGTGATTTCATGCGTTAATCAAGTAAGAGCCATTCAAACGCTTTTTTTGTCTAGTACATGATTAGCTTCTGGCTATTTTGCAGCTCTGAACCCAGGCCAAAGAAGAATGACCTTGAATAGTCGTTTTAGTCAATACAATGCTCGGCCTATGAAGCAATTGATGATGGTAACACTTAATTATCATCTGACTAATGATATTGTGGTGTATTGCCGTTTTAGTGTATTATTTAAATATACTTCATTCAAGCACATTTATCTTTGTCGATGATATGTACAACTTCGTCACTTCCCGGTAGATTTCTAATGCAATAATCTAAACATATATCCTTCAAAAAACTTTTCCAGTTAGAGATACTAACATCGCACTCGATTTTACCGTGTTGATATGGGTGAATGAGACAATTCCAACTTTGAAATCGATCATAGACTGCATCAATAATTAACCATACAATGAATAAACCCTGGTATTTGGGCTTCAATCAATTATTGACATGGAAAAGTATGAGTTTTAGAGGCTTTCCTATAAAAAGCAAATTAGAGATTGAATGAAGCTCTCGTTTTGTAAAAATACTCTGGTCTTGTACATAGTATACGATAACTGTGTCGATTTGAAAGCACTGATGAATAATGAATACAACAATCCACACGATAGTTTGACTATGCATATCTGCAGAACAAAATTAATTAAAACATATGACGATATGTTATAGAAACTTCTACATTTGAAAATAGTTTGATCAGTAGACTGAACACGACTGAAAACAAATATGTTCATTACATAATTTGAGTTCACTGATGAGGTGAAAGAAAAACACGTCATTGAATATCTTGCAACCATGTAACTCTTTAAGGTTAAAGGTCAACTAGTGTGAAAATTTAGTGATGAGTAGGATAAGTGTCATGCTACAATTTGATATAGCTCCAGCTTATGTTTTCATGGTAACAACTATGGTAATTATGTATCGAAAAAGATATTCTTTTGCAACAAGACATGACAACTTTTCCAATCACAATACTTTCCATAGAGATTGGCATCGCCTCGTTCGTTCTGTTGAACCGAGAAGACCTGAATTCTTTATCCACCATGAGTAAACAGTTATTACTGATAAAATAAATAGTGGTTAATACTAAAAAACGATGGTAGGTAGGATAAATTTAGTTCAACCACGCGTTCTAAATTACCAGAAGTAACTTCATTAACTAGCAAAAATGAATTCTCTTATTATTCATGTATTAGTTTCTCACATACGGGTTTTGGGAGGTCATGAAAAGAACGCAAAGAAGAATAAGCCATTTGAAAATAGAAAAACTGTAGGATAATATAATTAGATAGTGCATTTGATTAATTATATGAACATGATTCATTCATGTATTTAAAATATATGTATAGGTGGGAATTCGAGTTCTAATTGGAAATAAACTTTCGGTATTTGTCCCATTTTTTTAAAACTTTGACAGCAAGAGAGAGTTCATTAATGTCACATATCCGCAGCAAAATAATTAAACAATCGCTTAGAAATAAATTTTTTATTCTAATATAGTAAGTTTTATGTATTAAAATTGTGAAAGTATTTAAAATGCCATGGGTGACCAAAGTAAATTAACTTAACAAGTCGATACCGCGATTGTGACTTATTTACAATCATCTTTACCATGACTCTTTTTGCTATCCAAAATTCACCTGTATAGAACGTTTGTACTATATCTTCGCCAATCCCTTCACCGAAATCAATGGTTAACTGTTTCAAATGAGGCAAACATGATTCAATCAACTTTTGCCATTGAGCACCATTGATAATTGCAGATCGATGACTACCGCTCTGATCTAGATGAAGTCGATATAAACACGGAAAAAGTGACAGTATAGTCTGTAGATTGGCAAAGCTACCGGAGTGATTCATATGCAGCTCAGTAATGTGTTTCAAAACAAGATCCGATGATATAGTGAATAAACGGTAGTTTCCAATAAAATGCAATGATTTGAGATTTGGTACATTGTTTTGAAGGAACCCAATGAAATCTATTGTCCAATCATAATTGTAAATTGATAAACGACGAAGCTCTAAAAATCTAATGGAAACAGTAGGAAAAACAGCTGTAAATCCTGCAAGCGACAATGAAAGATTAACAAGACATTTAAACCGATGAGCCTGATCGACAAATACAATATTTAAAAAACAAGAATCATTCCTTTTTGTATAGTCCCGGCGTTCTCTAATTGATAAACATTTGATTTGATTACTTGCTGGAATATGTTGAAATGCTGCGTTCGCCGACTGTGGATTAATTTCATGTAAACGAACTAACCGTAGATTTTCATTGGTAGAAGATAAAAATTGACTATCTATGTTAAGATCATTATAAAAAGAAACCATACGAATTTGTGATGGCTTCATACATGGTAAAAGCGTTTGATGAATTGAGTTGCTTACGTGTAACGAATCACAGACAATGTGTAACTGAGCTGATTGAAGTAGATCATTGATGCGATAGTTCAATCCGTAAAAAGCTTGATACAAATCGAATGCGTCGAGATATTCAAAAATATCAAGTAGTAATTCGTTGCTAAATGATTCTATTCGATTCAAAACCGTTGGACACATGACAATTAATATTATATTATATTGCACTGTGTTTTCAAAGAGAACTATTTATATCAAGGCATTGCAGAGAGTTGCATCATCAACATGCAAGTTTCACAACAACAGAAGCGATACAACTTATTGATTCATAGTTTTATTATAACAGAAATTCATTCGATAAAAACATATTCATTCTTGTGCAATGAACACTAAATTATTTTGATGTTGTGTATAGGCATCAAAGAAAGATGTCCTTCTCGTACCTGTTGATTTCATAGAAATAATAAGAACATCAAAACTAAACGTATGTATTAGGTATCGAATAGGATTTCTTTTATCAAGAATGAGAATGAGACAACTTTAACATGTTCTATGTATGCAATTCAATGGTGTTCAATATCAATGGGGAAAAGTAAATCCTAGTGGATCCGTTCTTATTCCCATGGTCCAACGAACTAGCAATCTTTTTTTGTCATTGAAATGACTTCAAGGAATAAAGTTCTCGTACTATTTGAAATAGTGTTTACAAGCGAAAATTTTGAAAAACAACCAAGAATGATATTTCTCTTTTAACTTCTCGAGGAAATTCAATTGATTTTAACTTGTAAAATTTATCCTACTACAATAATTTGCTTAATTTCGAACAAGTCTTTTTTTGTAAATGTTGCATGTTATAGTTTACATTATTTAAGTAAACATTTTACGTTTCATATCCTCAAAAACAATAATATTTTATTTCAATTTAATCGTTTTTGTTAGAGGCTCTTCACTATACTTTATTATTATTCAGTGATAGAAATATAATAAAAGAATTCGTTTTATTGCCAATATGTAAGAAATTTATATTCACCTGATACTACTCTAATTGATAAAGTATTTATGAACTTATTCTCATTCAAATTATCGATACCACGAACATATTTTAACAATGTCAATTTACCTTGTATTATTTTCCTCATCTATATGACTGCATCATCACACATCAATTTTTATACATTGTATTTTCTCAATTAATGAATCGAATGAGACTATCGCATCGATATTAGCTGTGACAGAAATTGATAAAGTTACAACATTGATAGATATTCTCCTCCATGCTATGCGAACTGTTTCTTTGATTGTAACCACTTCAGTTTTTATACCAGTCAATATATCAGTATTGTAAGACATACGCAGATACATAGTAATTGTTCATAGTGCATTTAATTCGATTCCTGCTAGATATCGATAAAACCATGCCTCTATATGTTGAAGTATATTCATTGCTTGACTTTCATTGGCATAACCACTGGCAGCTAAATTATACAAGACATGATGAAATTCATTGCTCAATCGTTGATATAATTGTCTACACGTTTATGCAATATGAGTATAATTAAGAATCTCACTCATATTAATAAATGTATAAACATCACGAATATAAGCATAAGGAGTAGTGAAGTGCATCTGGCTTTTTTCGGGTTTGAGTAAACAATCAATAAAAACTTTCCACTAATATGAAACTTTATTTTGAAATGTGGGTTCGATAAAAGCGTCCTCCAGCTTTCAAATGATGTGCCTTGTTTCGAGAAAAATAATCAATGCATGAAATTGAAGACGGAAAATATACGAAAACAAATCGGAGTCCGATTTAAACTCGATTCCGATTTTTTTGCAATCGTTTTCTGCGTAGAACGACAGGAATAAAAATCTTTTGAAACCCAAATGTGTCATTCGGAAACTAAAAGATTGCATTATCGAATTCACATCTAGAGAGAGAGAGAGAGAGAGAGAGAGAGAGTTTAATCTTGATGTGAAGTTTTTATTTATTGTTTACTCAAACCCGAAAAAAACCCGATGCAGTTCACTAACAGGATGTCACAATATGAGTGTAGTGTGAATGTTTGAAAATAAATAAATTTCATTAATTGAGTAATTCGATACTTGAATATTTGAAATGTAGTTCACTAAATGAAATTCAAGTTGATTTTGAGCTTGTCTATGCATGTTCTCGAGAACATACAACACATAGCTACTCTAAAAATTTTGACAGGTTACGTTCTTCAGTATCGTTAACATTTATTATCATTCGTTAGATATATCATTGAAAACACATTATACTACATCAAAAGTTAATTTCAACGGAAACATCGACAGATTTCATGTTTATTGTTTATTACAAACTAGATAACAACTCTTGTGTGTTTTTACTCCAGCCGATATATTGGCTACAAACTTTATGAAAAAAATGAAATGAAGAATAGGAGAAAAGAAATCATTAGAATCCAAATGACGTAAGTTAAACAACAGGTAATAAAATAAAATACATGAACAAGTCTGGTCATTGTTTTTGTTTTTGTTTATGTTGAAATGAATTAAATAAGCAAATATTGATTGAAATAAAATAATATGATTTTTACAAATTTTGTATTGGTGCTGGTAGAAATCGAGTCTAAAATAAAAACGGGTAAGAAATATTTGCCTATTTAAAAAATAATAATGATTGCCAGTCAGTTTTTGTTATAACGCGACAAGGAAAAGAACTAGCAAGATGAAGTTTTCATTATTAGATAGGAATAGATTTGGCATCGCTTGAAATATCAAAGATTCTCCAATAATGATAACCGAAATTTACCAGATCTTTTTATGCAACAATATTCGCAACAATTGTATAACTTTTTAAAAATAGACACAAACATGCAAGTATTTTAAACTCTAATTTCAATAAATATGTAATTCTAACCTTCTTTTTTTCTGGAAAATAATTAATAAAAGCAGACTTCGAAAGATCAAGATGTAGAACAAGTAGAAACCTACAAGAAATCATTTACGAACTCAATTATTTCTCCTGTACTATTGTATTTGTTTGCTTTCTAAGAAGTTCTTATGTGAGCAAAAAACAAAATCATACATTTGTTGGAGGAGTTGGTTCATTGATTGTTGTTTCATCTAAAAGAAAATAAATACATCCAATTAAAAACAAAAAGGTTAACTTGATCATAGTGTGATGAAAAATGGGGAAAATCATGCACCTATTGTTGTTGGCCACAGAGATATTGAATTTATTCTGTCTGTTGTAAGGCAAACTGACTTTAATAGGTTTTTAGTCAATATATATATGAAAAATATTGATTCGTATGTGAGCATATGAGATGTTCAACTCTGCGGATTTTATACTTTGACACTTGTTTTAGGTATCGTTTGTCACAAAAGTGAATTTACGATTAAAACAAATTAAACTCACTTGGTAATGATGATGTCGCTAATTCATTTGATAAAGTATTATCATCTCCACTTGTTGTAACTAATGCCACTGACTACAATAGAATTCAAAAATATTCGCAAACATACTGATCACTATCTAATCACCTCTGCAGTCGGAGAAGGTGTTGTTGGTGGTGGTGTTGATATTTTAAAAACCTCTTCCCAAAGACCGGGAAAAAAACTATGAATTCTATCTTTTGTAATCACTGTTAAAGACGGATTATCATCAAATAAGCCAGTTGTATTCATCACTAAAAGCATGTTTTTTAATGATTCACGAACAGATTCACGCTAAAATAGCAAATTATTCATTATTATTATTTCGTTTTTCTTTCCACAAAATCTTCTTACCAACATATCTGTTTGATCTATTTTAGAATATTTATCCATAAAATCCAAAATAGTTAACCACACTGTTGTAAACGTTGATAATGTTAATAATGGCGTAAGATGTTGTAAAAATATTCGACATAATAATTGTGAAACGCGTACACGAGTCTCCTCAATTCCATATGTATGATCACTTGTATTCGTTGTTTCAAGTAATTGAAGTAATAAAGGAAATAATACTTTATTAAACGCAGATTCCCATTCTATTGGAGCAAGAATATGAAGTTCAGGTAATAAAACACATCGCTGAAGATAACCAAGAGATGACGAACGAACTGCACGGCGAGAATCACAACACAGACGTGCAATACCTTAATATACACATGGAAATATTTTACCGTTTATGAATTCATTTAACGGCTATCAACAGCTTTACATCAAAATAGAAATTTTCTTCTCTACACTCGTTAATTTAACTATCTTTCACTTGATAACCTTGTTTTTCTCAATACTATAAACTCAATTATTACATCGATTATTATTTCAAAGTATCCGTTTATAAGAAGTTCCAATAATCTTATGAAAAGTTCATTTAAAATCACTTGAAAATTGATACAAAAATTTATCATTTCAAAAAATCATATTTGAAGTTATAAACTATATTGATTTGAAAAAATGTTAGTAAAATCAAAATAGAATCTTATATATATATAGATATTGATAATTCATAGAATGACAAAATTTATAATTTGAGCATCGAAAAAGACACTCTCAACTAGATTAAATCTAAAATGATATCAGTTTATCGGAGTTTTCTTTTCAAACTTAACATAATTCATGTCATTTCTCTTTAAAACATGCACTATCGATAAAAAAAAGATCAAAAAAACGATTTTTGTCACAATCTCAATTCAAATAATAAATTCATTGTTAAGAGTTATTCAATGGCTAAGAATCGATTAAATACGCAAGACAATATGAAAAACATGTGTTTTTGAGCATAAATATTTTAACTGAAAGCGGGTCATGTTCACCGATACTTGCTTAATGTTTTCACGATTACTGACTCAAGTTATTGATAAAACTTGTTCGTTTTTTGTGGTTCTAGCATATTTCTGTACCAATTCTTCATTTTATGCGAAATACCCAATAACACTGACGTATTCTCTGTGTAAATGCAATGCATGGTTGCATTGTATATTTTTTTTGGTAGATCAACCACCTACTCAATGAATAAACGTCGAATTTCCGTCAGATTAAATTTGAAAACAATTATGCAAAAAAAAACGAGAAGCTCACTTTCGAGAGACAAATAAATATTATTCTTCATGTTAATGCGAATCATTACTCAGTAAAAAGAAAATATCTAACCTTGCAAAATAGGACACCAACATTTATACCATAAAACACTCGATTTTTCTTGATCAGTCGGTATTTGTTTATAGATTTGTGATGCTCTCATATGTAATGTATGCAATAACTCCAATAATTGCAAAACAATTGTTTGATATTCTTGTTTAATTGATTGGCCCATTTCATCATCATCATACTCAGAACGTGTTTGTCTGGTTTGATTATTTGTTTGTTCATTGAAATTTTCATTATTTAAAGAATTTGACGATGTTGCTTTACGAATTTGTTTTGTATTTCGATTATTATTTGTTATTAATTTCGATGTTTGCTTATCTGTTTGTTGTATTATTGTTGATTCAATAAATGTTCGTATACAATGAATACAGTATTCAAAATTTTCTTGTGTTACATATGCTACATCGTGAATAAGAAATGATAATATTTCACAAGATTTACTCAAAGCTCGACGATCATGTCGAGAAAATTTATCATTTTGATTTCGATGTGTTTCGAAATCGTTATGTGACACAACTATATAATCTGAACGACGATAAATTTCTGAATCACTTAAATAACCTTTATCAGTTGTACTCGTTGTTTGACAATCGGAACATTCAGTGTCTGATTCAGCGTTTGTTACTGAATAATTTTGATGAGTATGTTTGTTTAACGATAGATTTTCTGTTGGTGATTGAAGAATAGATGGTGGGCGAGCAGCTGCTCCAACAACTTCAAGTAAAGAAAATAATATAAACCAATCATCAGACTTGTGTATATTTGCTGCATTTGTACGAAGGATTTCATGTATACCATAAGCTATTTCAGATGATAATCCTTGAAGCACATGAGGTTTCATTAGCAGAAGCATACGAAGTGAATCAAGTACCTAACAAAATAATAAAACTAATTTTATAAATCAATAAAATGAATCTATTACTTCAGAAGCTAATTCTTCTCGTCGTAAAAGTCTTGCTGTAATTCTTAATAAACCAATGCAAGCACGTTCAATAAAGAATGTTTTAATATTCGCATTAACAAGTATTGAATAAAATTGATGTCGAACAGTTGGCCAAAATATAGTGACACGATCACGATTTTGTAAAACAACTTTAACTAATAATTCTAGACAAAATACGGCAGCATCTTGATCAAGTTTTTGAGAATCTGGAAACATTTGACAACCATATATAAGTGCTTTTAAGAATTCATTTAAAGAATCAATAATTAAAAATTTTGTTTCTTGCAATAACTGTTCTAAATGGCATTCTTCAATACATGCTGAAGCTACTTTTATTGCTTCTTGTTCTTCAATTGTTGGTTGCTTGCCAGAAGATAATGTTGATTCATTTGAACCACCACCGCCGAGTAAAAATGCAAGAGATGAAAACAAACCAGTATCGGTTCTAAACGAAAATGTATATTTTTTAGAATAAGAATCGTATTTGAATCTAACAAAGATACGAATATGTGATTGACAGCGTTTGAGTCTCATTTAACAAAAACAAAATTCACCGTGGAAAAAATGTACATGAGCATAGAGTACTATATATGGGCGTAGATACATATAACAATATGATGAATAGAAATAGGACATATGATCTTAAAAAAGAGAATACAACGTTCTCTAATATTTTCTATTGAACTTCTTCTGTCTCATTAAAATTTCTCACTGAATTCAAGTGTAACTCAACTTTATTTTTTGATAAACTTTTCGTACGTAGACACTCGTCAGTGAACAAAATATCTCAGAAAATCAATGGTTTCAACATATTCTCTTAAGGTTATTTTTAGATTGTTTAGTACTGGTACTCTTTACAGAAATGTCTGTAATGTCTACGCAATCTTCAGTTTCTTCTAGTCGTGAAAATAATTCAAAACACTGAATGTGAATTATATTACTGATTTATTACATGACAAGCAAAGACTTGGAAAATTAGAAATAGTTCGATAGGCATGTATATATTTCACGACTAAGCTAACATAACTTTGAAACTATAATCATAAGCTGCAACAATCCGTAATACATAATAATCAATATTCCCCATGTGCACTTATTCTTCTAGTAATAAATGAATTGATAAGAAAATTTTTTTTTTGTGTACTTTACTTTATTAGTTGTCTGATTAGTTTTTCAACACTCTCAGTTGCTTTTAAGAGTCTTAAGAAAACATGCACGACGTACATATCTGCCTGGAAAGTCACCATAGTTATTTTGCTATTTAAGTATAAATATCAATTGAATACTAAGTTGTATCTTTACATACGACCGATAGAAAGGAGAGATTCATCGTTTTTTGTAGTTATGAAGAATATTAATTAATCCTATTTCATCATATTCAGTTATAGAACATACACGAATTGAAAATTTTAGTTCGCTATACAACATTTTTACACGATTTCTACTTGATACTTTGATCAGTCATCTGTTACTATATTTATCACGTTATGATGTACGGTAGTGTATTTGACTAATTATTTGAAGATAACTAACTCATACCAACAGGCTGGCTGCAAGATTTGTATTTTGTCGAGTAGTGAAATTAATATATTAAGTTTTATTTTTTAAGTTGAGTAGATGACATCATTCTTAATATTAGTTCATAACGATAAGAACAAAAACAAGACTGATTTAATATCTTTCTTACGTTAGTAAGATTTGAAAAATCTGATTATCTAATAAAAACGATGAAAATCCTAGTTTTAACATCTCTAATTTCTAATCATGTAAAAGAATTTCATTTATATTTAATTTACTTTGGTGCTTCGGCAACTTGTTCTTTAATCAATGTTATTCGTCCAGTTGGATCAAGAAAATCTTCAACTTCAACAAGAACTGATGGCAATAATTTAGCTTTATATAAATGAATTATGCATTCTAGAATATTTTTCCATCCATCTCGTAAAATATCTCCATGCACGTGGGCAATGTTGAAAACAACCGTTGCAGCGAGGCGTGCTTTTCTGTTCAAACCAAATTGTATTGGTAAATTTTCAATCCACTAAAACGAAAAGCATACACTTCTGATTCTCTCATTTTTCATTAAAAATTCGATTTAAAAGAGAGAAAAAATTCGTGCTTATAATTATTATATTTCTAAAAAACCATTGCTGTTATGTTAGACTTTTTTTCTCATACCAAATTATCGTTTATCTGTAATGTGATAGAAAATTTTAAAATAAAATATTTCTAAGCTAGAAAATAAAATTTACTTCTCGATTATTGAGTAATGTTGTGAATTTGCATAAAGAAATAACCAAATTATCAAAAACATCCGACATACAATAATATGCAGCAATTCTTGCACATTTACTAAAGCCTTGGATTGATTTTTCTATAACTAAATCATAATTAGATTTTTCAAAAACAAATGAAAGTGCAGCCATTGTTTGTCCCCATATTAATGTAAATATTTCATGATTATATGAACCAGTTGGAACGTGAAGAAATTTATCTCCTATTGTTATTGATCGTTTTAACATCAATTTCCATAAATAGGATTCACGAACAAGGCCTGTATGTTCAGCTGGCATGACTATTTCATCTGATTTAATTGCATTGTAAATCTCTGTTAACATACTATCATCAAAATTTTCATTATTATTCATTTTTGATAAATTTCGTTTGAAATCCTTTAGAAAACAACAATACTTTTTTCTTCTATTTAATCAAATAATCAAAAATTATACTTCACATGTCATTGGTAAACTTTGACGACGAACATTTGTATTGTGTTGATCGGTCTAAAAGAAGAAAAACAATAACACAATATATTTCAGTTCATTCCAGAATGTCTAATAAAATAAGAGAACAGCACACTTGTTGTGTTGTAATGTAGAATATCTGAGGGAAATATCTTAATAGTGAAAATCTAATTAGTGTTTTAAACGAACGTTATAATGTAACCAAAATGGATTTTATCACCGATATCTAGATGAAGTTTTTTGATTGACAGTTTACCACTTACATTAAGCATAATACAGGCATATGATAAACCAAAAGCGGCATCATTATTTGCAAGTGGAAAATTGTTACATTCCTAAAAAAGTAAATTTTTTTTCGAAGAACTTCAAAATGTATAAAATATTCTTACTCGCCAACGAGCAGCAAAATGTTCAAGTAAAGCACTGATTAAAGGTGCTTCACCTGGTAAACGAAATTCTGATAAATATATTCGAAGTGCTTCATCAATACGCATTTCTTCAAAGTGAAATGTACTTTAGAAGAAAAAAAAGTAAACACTTCTATAGATAAAATTTAGAAGAAGAAAAATATTAAATTTACTTGACATATTGTTCAAGTATATGAATATTTTTTCTATTTGATAAATATTCCCCAATCACTTTTTTATCCAATAATGGATTGTCTTTGAGATATTTAACAATTTCATTAACATCTAATGAACCTGATAAAAGATTGTTCTCTTGAAGAAACTTTAATCCTGATGATGGACTTTGATTAAATAATTCTGAACCTTGTCGGAATAACTTTTAAAGAAAGAAATACAAATAAAATTTGCTATCAATAATAGCTCAAACTTTTTTATCGTGTTTCATCTTTTTAAGATCATCTTGTGATGGTAAATGTGAAGATATCGTCATGCGATTTTGTCGAAGTCGTGGGCCATGACGAGATTCAGACGGAGTTGTAGAACGATTAATATCAATATTTTGCAATGAAAGAGCAAATGCATATCCACATGGAATAGGACGAGTTAATGTTTGACTTGTGGCTAGAACAACAAATGCAAGAAAATATTTAACATATAACTAAGAGACAATGACAGATTAATATTTTTGTAAAGTTGGATTCATTTTATTATTTATTTTTTTGTTCAGAAAACTATCGATTTCAAGTTCATACATAACTGAAACACTGTGAAAATAATATGACGTCAGTTCTTCTCTAGTCACACTTAAAACTGGATATATATATTCATTTTAGAGAGACTTGCAACTTTCTCAGAGATGAAAAAATATCCGAACGCTTATATTAATCATCAGAAACTATCGATAGGTATTTGTATTGTTTTGGATATTAGATAAAAGATATTCCTTAAAGGTAGAACACAACTTATATGTAGTAGGTTCAAAAATGACTATTAGAAAATATATCAGTAACTTTAGGTAGTAAGTTAATTCTTTGAATCATCATGTATTAAATTTTTAAATCAAGTCGTAACTATTATCTATCAAAAAAGTTACGATGATTAAAAATCGAGTGTAATCAAAAAATTCATTAACTTAACTATAATAAGTATAATATTTAAATTTTTCATTAAATCATAGGCTAATCTTTAGACGAAAATCCTATAATTATATGTATATTGAATGAAATGTTCTTTAATTAAATCAGATTTTGGGATAGATTTAATTACCGAGCAAGCTCACTTCGCTAGCAAAAAGAAATTTTCTAATTGTGACTGTTTACCTCACTGTTTTGAGACTATCACGTTTTTTCCTGCATAATTTGCCTCAGTTTGTAGGTGAAATTGACACCTTTCGAAGCGGAGTCTGTGTAGAAAAAAAATACTAATAATTCAATAGCATACAATCATTTTTTTGTCTTTGTACTTGATATTGGCATTCGAGTTCAATATGATCGATAACTGAAAGAAGTGCATCAAGTGAAAGAATATGTGTTGATGTTAAACCAGCAACTGGAAAAGCATTTTTCGATAACATTTTTGTTAATTCTTCAAATAAATTTTCACTATACAAATCGCAATCACAATTTAAATATAATTCAGCTGGTAAACCGGGTATACGAAGAAGTTGAACAATTGTTTCAAGTGCTAATTCCTTTTGTTCATAAGTAATTTTTAATTGTTCAGATACAATTAATTCCATTAAACGTGTTATAAAAAACTGAAGAAAGAAAACAAATTAAGATTAATCTGTTTTTTGTTTTTGAAAAGTTTTTCTCCTACCTCAAATTGACATTTGAGATGTGTTCGAAGACTTTCGAATATAAGAAATGAAACTCGAAGTGAAGCAGAAAATAATTGAATACGATTACAATTTAGCATCTAAAGTTAATTTTATTATAGAAACCAAATCATCACTTAACTTACACTTAATAAATTTTGACATAAAGAATCTTTAACTATTGAAAGTAATAATGGATAATTGGCAAGATAATCTGCGCCAACTTCTAATGCAACAGTTAAGAGATTCAAACCGACTGTTATCATATATTCTGTGTTGTTTCTATTCAAGTAAATATATTCATTAGAGAAATAAAGTTGGCAATGAAGAAACTGACTTATCATAGTTATTGATAAGTGTAGTCAGAAAACGAAAGAGACCACGAACACAAGGCCAACCGTATGGTGCTAATAGATCTGGAAAAAAGATGTTTCTCCTTTTTTTAAGTTAAGTTTTAACTATATTTGCCTTTAGCAGGTACATTTGTTGGTGATGCAGTTGTAAAACGAATACCACGTGGATTAATATATTCATTATTGTTTGATGATGTTTGTGTTACTATTGATTCATGAGATTGTTTTTCTTCTTGAACTGTTGTTGATGTTTGATGAGTTTGAAGAATATTTGATGATGATGATTCTTCGAATGATGGAACAATTATTGGCAATATGGTTTGAGAAGTAGTATCATTAATTAAACCAGCTTCATTGTCATCATTCATTGTAGCAGTATTCGTCGGTGGTATAGCATTTGTAGCACTATCAATTGCTGTTGGACGATTATTATCGTTGATTTCTGATGACTAAAATAATTGATAAAAACTATCAATAAGAAAAGTAACATAACTCCTATTTTTCTGTCAACAGGTTTGTCAAACATGAAATCACTCGGCTAACTTCAGAAAATAAATATATCATCATAAACTCAGACACAGACCACTTTCGTCAGAGAAATAAAAAATAAATTTCAATTGTATTGTCGCCGACATATTTTTCACTATTGAGATATTAGAATAAAAGACAAAAACAAATTTCATAACAGAGAATATGTTACTACTTCTATTCGATGTAATTATACTTTTTGAGCAGTGATCAAGTATTCTGATAGTTATTTTTTAATCTTGTACGACTGTTACATGGAAATTTTCTATTTTATAATACTTAATTAATCGTCTTTCTTCTCTCATCAATTATTTATTTAGAATTTTTTTTCCATTTCAAACCAAATTCATTTTTATATCAATTAGACTCCTAATCATTTGATGCAATAATATTTAGTGTGAAGATTAAAAAAAAAAATTATCGAATTTTCTGTAAAATCTCAGCTTACAAATACAATTTCTCTTATTAAATATGAGTTTATCTATTATTATCTTATCTTCGAACAAAAAAAAAACGTAGACTATTGATCGTTTTTGTAAAGCCAAGATGTATAATGATATTAAACATAGGTACTCATGATACAACTGCTCGTATATATGAATAGATATCATATATAGTCTTTGCATAGGCCATTCTTTTCTTTCCAACAAAAATACCTCCCTTTTGTTTTTAATACTAATTAGAAGAAAGAAAAACTTTCTATGGCTCATTTGCATCTTAATAATCTGAAAGCTTACATATGTTAAATTTGTCTCGTTCGTAGAAGAAGTTGATTCTATGTAAAAAATAAAAATAAATAAAATTTTCAAAAGATATCAAGAAAAACTCGTACTATTTGTCTGTTGTTCGTTGCCTGGTAACTGTTGAGTTCGGTGCGGATTATTTGTCGTAATATCTTTTGCAGAAAGATCTTTAACGCGTTTTGTTGATGATTCAGATGTTGTATCATCTTTAAATTGTGGTAATCGAGCAAACAATAGTTGCACCATATCAATTAAAACATGTTCAGATGTTTTACGTAATAATTCTAAAATATAATAAATAATGCAGAGAGAAAAACTTCTTACTACTTAAAAAGGATGAATTAATCCTACCAGATAATCTTGTTTCGAAACAAATACGAAAGCAAGATTGCAAAATTTCACATACACTATCATTAGTCATTTGTGATCCGATGGGGCTTAATAATAAAGAACGAAGAACCTATAAAATAATTTTTTATTTACTAGGAAATCTTTAATAGAAATTTTACTTGTAAAATTCTCATTAAAACCACTTCATCGTCATTTGGATTCGTTCCAACGAACCGTGTATGCGTTACAGCATTGGCAACTTTATCAATAGTGGATGCTGCTGATTGATCTAAAGTATCTAGTTTACATAAACAAAAAAATAAAGCAATTTAAAATTGAAAAAACAATTTGTTATTTCTGTTTCTACCAATCAGCCCATATGAAAGAAATTTATTGACAGCATTTAATGCCAAACAAGTTATTGGGCCAGATGTTTCGTCAGAACGAATTATATCAAGAAACGGTGTTAAAAAAGTTAACGAATCAATATCTTGAATATCTAAATAAAACTTTATGATGAATTATCTATGAAATTTTTGCTTTCGATTTTACCAGAAGCAGAATTCAGAATAGCTTTCAGTTTTTGAAATGAATTAATCTCTGGGGATTCCTAAATAAAGAAGTAGTGTTAAAAAAATATTTCATTCTCTTTTCATAGCTTACTTCATACGAGTGTGCCACTGACCATCGAGCATTATTCTTTTTTGACGATGTTATTGCTTGAATTTCACCAAGAATAATATAAATCGCATTTTTTGGTGGTTCGAAAGACGATGACATCAGTGAATGATGACACAAGCGTTGTAAGAACTCGTTCTGATGATGATAATATTCACTCTAGACGAAGAGAAAAACCAAATGATTGATCATGAAAATCCGAGGTTAAAGAAAAGAAGAGCTCAGCCTTCAGTTTTTATCCATGGTTTACCAATGCAACGTATCCATATGGAGCCAATGACAACATTCATTTCTTTAAACGTCGCTAGTCTCTTACCTTATCATTTTGATTGTAACTCATTTTTGTAATCATAACATATTCGTTAAACTCGTTGTTTTCAATGATTGAATCGATCAATTCAGTATGACAATAAAATTCATGTGCCATTCCTGTTCTGTCAATTTCATAATATACTTTAGTATGAAAAATATTTGAACGCAAACAAATGTAGAGTGACGTGTAATTGTGAGTATGAGGTTGTTTGAAAATTGAGTCATTGCTCTTTGCCACGTTGCCAAAGTCAATCCATCTATGATGGATAAATTCGAACGACAAGAAAAAAGGTAGAGGATTTCTATAAGATGGTTTGATTCTTTAGGAATTATGCTTGTGGATACATAAATTTTTGCGCATGCTTGAGAAAGAAAAAATGTTCTCACAGATGAAGTGATAATATCTGCAGAGGAAAAAAGAAAATTTTTTGCGATTCTTTTGTGGATGAACTAAAATAGAAAGACACATAACATTGTATAGAAAAGGTTTTGGAATTATTTGAATAACAACCAAAGTTTTACGTGGAAAAATAATCGTTTGAAAAGTTCTTCTCATTTTTATTACATGTTTTATTATGTTAACTGATAAATCATCGATCATAAAGATTACTGGAATAATAAATATGTATGCTGTGCGTTTACCAGATTTTCATCTTCTTATAAAATAGATATCTGGAAAACTGTTGCTTTTTCTAAATGGAGTTGATATTTCTATAAATTAATAGATACCATTTAAAAGTAGTCAGTCAGAACATCGGGATATGACTCGTAGTTTTTTTCAGTTACATTCATTGACGCCGATCTCAAGCGGCATGATTGCGATGCTATTTGTTGCATGAAAACTGTATCAAACTAATTCATGAATTATACTTCGTAAGTATTGATAAATTAACGTCTCAAGATAGGCGGAATAGTTCAAACAATAAAACTGTAAATTATGGCATTAAATTATTAGATTCTTATCATAAAGATTCGATATCGAAGTAGTATTTATCCATAGCAATCAGATTATGAAAAAATACTATATATAAAGTGGTGGCAAAAAGTTTAAGAACAACGTATCTTTGATTTTTTTTCTATAACGCGAAGCACCTAGCTCAAATTCAGATAGTAATTTGATTAGCTAATGAGGTGCT